TATATAGATATATAACGATGACAATCATCTCTTTCTCTTATTATTCTATTTCTAGAATCGATCCAGTTCAACTTTCGGATACTGGACGTTATACATGTTCAGCTGAAAATGCATTGGGTATTGCCACAACAACATGCGATGTAATTGTTTATGAAAGTAAATGAAATATTATTTTGTTTCATACATATAATCTAGAAATATTTCGTCGAGACAACTAAATTATATAGTAAAATGTATTATTATTATGGTTAATAGTATTAAATATAGAAAATAATGATTATAGTGTTTGGCTTTAGTTGGTATGAGATGTAATCTTGATTGAGTTGTGAGCATTAAAAAAGAATTATAAACAAAAAGTTCAAATTTATTATTAGATCTTGTAGTATGATATTATTGCGTGTAGACATAGAAGTACACTTAATATAAAGAAGTATTCAACTCCCTCTTCAAATGTTAAGGAACATATTGCAATTGATTTACATAATTTATGTTTTTTGAAAAGATATATTAAGACCTTTTTTTTGTTTATTTAATATGCTCGATGATTTTTTAATCAATATCCATATGTTCACATATTATTTTTTCTCTATTTATATATATATATGACTATGTTTTTCTATGTTAGTTGTCAAGAAGCCGGGATACATCTTCATTGTAGTATAGTGAAAAGAAATGAGGAAAAAGAAAAGAGACCCTTCATCGTCATATTGTCAAAATGAATAGCTGAAGAGGAATATAGTAAAAAGAAAAGAAAAGAATAACGATCGAGAGAATGCTACTAGTTAGCTTGTGAGACGAGCAACAGCATGCGTTCATCTGAGTAAATCAATCTGAAATATGAACATCGTCATTTGATTCAATGTGAGACAAAAAAAAACAATGACGATGGTGATGAAGAAAAAGACGAAGAAGAAGAAGAGAAGTTGAATGAGATCTGATCTGGTATGATACAAAAAAAACCGAGAAAAAAATACTGATTTAGAATTTCTAGACAAAAGAAAAAGAAAGATACAGGAAGTAAAAGGAAGTAAATGAAATAAGATTTTCTTCTATTAGTTTGACCTCTAAAATCAATCTTTTTTTCTTTATCTTTCTCTTCTAGTTCCATTAGCAACATCTATTCGACATCTCCAGGGTGAAATAAAAAGAATTAATATTGATAATATTATACTTCATATAAATTCAATTTTAAAAAAATCAACATTATTTAAAATCTCATCAAAATTCTTGCCTATATTTCAATCAAATTTTCTTTTTCTTTTTCCACCTTCATTCTTTTTTCTAACAACTAAACAAACCAATACAAATACAACTTCTCCATACTGTTCTATGGATGATTCATTTCAACGTCATATAATTATATCATTTACTGATGGTAAAATTTAAAAAACAACAAGAAAAACAAAATATTAATTTTATTATATATCAACATATATATTATTCTTGTTTTCTTTATTTAGGTTCTTATATGACTATAAATGAAAGAGTTTCGGATAGAATACTTGAAATAAATGGTTCCTATTCAGATGATTATGAGTTCGAAAATAATACATTTTTTACCGAAACAATTGTTCAAACTGGTTTAGGTATGTTCGATAATGAAAGGGTTTAGGAATATGTTTTTGACTAACTGTCTAACTTGATTATTGTTTCGATAATATAATATGTACATTAGTAGTAAATTTCCGCTTTTTATGCATTTGTGTGTTCAAGTATCTAAACACAAACGAGAAAAAGAAGATTGATAGACTGACAAATTCTGATGTTAATATATGTCTTGCGTTTCATCTATTTCTTTCTCTCGCTCGTTTTTTTTTCTTACTTACTTATATGAAGATGCATATCTTTATTCAAATTATTGTCGTGTCAACAATATTATTTCGTGCAATCATTCGTATTTGTTTTGTATATTTTACTTATTTAGGTCACATCAAAAATGAATATTATTTTTGCTTAACTATATACATACATTCTTTCATTTTGTTTTTCTTCTCTGGGGAATTTCACATTATCTTTTATTCTTAAAAAAAAAATTTTTTTTTCTCAGACGACATATCTTGTTATTTTTAATGATCGTAATGAAGTAAATATGATGATGTTCTACGACATTAAAATTTAGAAGAAATAGTAAAGATTCAGTGAGCTATAAATGATAGACATCAATAACGACGACTGATTCGTGACATTCGTATAGAATTTAGTAAAGATTTCAATTAATATTATTTGATATTAAATATAGAAATTTTTTTTCAAATCTTATTCATTCTTCTCTAGATTAAAATTTAATTTTTTTTGCGTTATATTTACTATAAATACGTTTTTAATTGAATATTAAAAAAAGAAAGAAAGTGCGACCTTTTATATAACACACAAAAAAGAAAAGATGAACAACATAACAAGCAATAGCTACAATGCAAGAATATTATCTAATAGATCCTTCAATATTCCACTAGCTCTACAACAACTTGTATATAATCCACCAAATTCATCTCGTCAACCAACCTTTCGTCCACAAAATCAATCTCGATCTAAACAATTATCGTATTTACAAATAATTGAAATATGTACTCTTTGTTTTATTCTTGTTGAACATACGATTATACTTATATTATCATTTCAAAAAAAACCAACAAAAACTAATCCATTTGATACGAAGTAGGATAACATACTTTCTAAGAAAAAAAAATCAAAAATTCATTTTCTTATAATCTCACTTTCTAATAGTAATCAACAACAACGACAAAATCAACCAGCACGTTCAATAGTTTTTTCATCAAAATCTATACTCTATAATTGTTTACATCGTAATTGGGTGCGTGCATATTCATTTTCAAATATATGTCTTTCACTAGTCTATTTTATAATTCTAATTTTAAAACATTATTATCCAAATCTTTTACATTATTCATCTGTAACATTCTATTCATTACCATTGACACTTTTTCAACAATTATTAATTAATTTCAGTACATTTCATTTATTTATCATATCAATAAGTGTACTTCAACATTTTATTCGCGTTTATCGTTTATTAAAAACGAAATATTCAATGAATATATATAGTGGAAAAAATCTTCTAATTACAAAACATAGAAATGTTGCATTGATTTTAAGTGGATCATTAGCACTTATATTTAGTTATAATTATATATTTTATACGCCAAGATATCCCGTGACATTAACATTACTTCCTTTAATAACACTAAATATGGTATTATTACCATTAATTGATATAATCATTTTCATATTTATACTTATTTGTTGTTTTATAAATCAACGTAAATTGAATAATTCAATAAAACATGATTTATCATTTCCTGATCAATTTCAACAATATCTAACAAATAATTTACGTTTAACAGCTGAAAAAGCGACGTGTATTAAATGTTATTCAAAATTTTTACAACATAATCGCAGTCTACTTAAAGATACGGATCCATATACAAAACTTCATTCGAAATTTTTTAGTCATAATATAATAACAAGTGCACGTCCATCATTAGCATTACCCGATGATAAACGTAAATATTCTACAGCATCATATGAAAATACTGCAATGATGAAAGATGCTCAATCACATTTACGTACATCATATTCAGGTCAACCAGGACAAATTTATCTTTCAGATAAATCGAATCGTTCGCAAGATTTTAATAATGAACAACGAACGGATGAAGAACAACGCCTCTCGACAAATGATTTAATGATACAAACAACATTACTTAAATTAAAACGACAACGTTCGATATGTCATTTGTGTTATCGTTTATTGTTATTATTTCTTTTCAAATATGTTCTATTAACATTTCCACAACATTTTATACAAATGAGTTTTCATTTAAATCAATTTTATGAATATATTCTCAAACATAATTCATATAACAATAATAATGCCAATAATAATAATAATAATATTCTATCCGAATACAATGAATTAACGTTATTAGTATGTCGTTTTTTATTTTTATTTGCACGATTTGGTGATAGTTTATTATTGACACGTTTACCAACTATAATAAAAAAATATTTTCCATGTTGGTGTCAATTTAATTCGAAATTATTACGTAAAGATACATTATTTCAACGACCATCACATCAAATATTAATGAAAAATATGGATTCACCAATGAATGAACCAATATCAGGTGATGATCTATCAAATATAAATGAAATACCACCACCACAACAACAAAAACAATCGACACGAACAAATCGTCATCGTTTTCGTTTACATTTTCAATTTGTTCCATTATTTTCAAATAGACAACAAACATTATTTAAACGAGATTATTAAGAAAAAAAAATGTTTTTCTTGTTTGTTGTTGTTAGTAAATGCTTAGATGTTTATTTTTTCATCATAAGAAAATATACAAAACAAATTTCATTCAAAATAATGATCTCAATATATATATATATAATACATTATTTTTAATTAAAATATACTAATCTCTCTACGGGTAAACAATTAGTCTTCTTTTGATAAAAATAAATCTTATTATAATAGGATTTGATTTCTTTCTTTGGTAAATACTAACTGAATTAGAAAGACTTACAGTTAATTAAATGAGTTCAATTGTTAAAAAAAGAAACATACCTTCTTTATTTGTTTGAAAAATACTTTATCAATAATGATTTTTATATGTATCTTTTCGAAAGTAATTCATTTATAAGCGGATAATCAGAATTATATACGAAACAAAAGAATATTCATATAACAATAGTCATAACAACTATATTATTGTGTGTTGAATATGATGATAACAAAAAAATAGACTTATTTATTTTTATCATAAAATAATATAGTACGTTGTTATTTGGAAGGATTTTAATAGTCTTTATTTATGATAAGAGTAGATTTCGTTGAAGTTTATTAAGTATAAAATTTGAAAACATTGATGATTGACATGGTTAGAAAATTGTAATAATGTAAAACTAAATTATTTATAAGTAACATTTTAAAAATATTAAAATTCTAAATATAGAATGGAGGCTTATTTTGAATGCTTTCAGGTCAATTTTACACATTTTCTACGGGTACATTAATTGGAAAAGAAAAATTAGCATTTAATTATACTCAAACAATTCAATGTACACCTAAAAAACTATATCCTATAACAATTCCACCACCTGTACATTATCTTAAACAGTTGTATACATGTAAGAAGACATTTTTATTAAATTAATAGTTCAATTTAATTAATATTTAGCACCAATTTATGATAAAAATGAAGAACAACTTGAATTGTTTACTGGTACAATTTCCGAATTGAAAGAAAGTACAATATGTCCTAATGGTTTTGAACGTAACGGTTCATTTTGTCAAGGTATTTAATATTATTCGAAAAACAAATATTAAGAATTTCTTGTTTATACTTTAATAGAGTGTGAAAATTGTCGACCAAATACATGTGAAATAGGATATCGAAGAAATTACAGATCAGGGCTATGTGAAGGTATTTAAAGAGTTCATAAAATTCATATATTATTTAAGAAAAAAAATCGATCAAATATATTTTTTACGGACATATTTCTAGTCAAAATATGAATGTTTATCTAGTTACCTTCTTTTTTTGTCCCCGATGTAACAACAACTTCATATATTTTGTTTTGTTTAGATATTGATGAATGTATTGAAAATGCAAATATTTGTCAGTATATGTGTGAAAATCAACTTGGATCTTATCGATGTTTTTGTCCAATTGGATTTAAAATAAACAATTCAAGTCAATGTCAAGGTTTACATTTAAACTTTTTTCTTTTAAATAAATATTTTCTTTAAAAAACAAATATATCGGCAGAATAGGATATTTACCGTCTTCTTTGGACTTTAATTTTTTATAAGAATATTGGTCTAGAAGATATTCTTTTAGCATAGACATATATAGAAATGTTGGTACTTAGTTAAGATTAATTAATGTCGATCGAACTATGTGAGTCACAAAAAAATGAGACCTCTACAGATGCTATTAAGTCACAAAATAGAAATGTCTGCTTTATCATTATCTGAGACTTCCGGAGGAAGGATTTCTGCTTTTCATTCAATTATAAGATTAGTTTTTCTTTAGTATATTCGTACTCCGTCAAACCCTTTGAATTGTCTACAAACTGTACTATTTAGTTTTCAAAAACGAAAGGTTTCCTCATTTATAAGATATACATGTTTCTATTTTATGACGTCACTTCGTTAACAAATGATTTTACTGATATATTTTCCTAGATGTCAATGAATGTCGTCAATTTCAAATTGACTGTGGTCAAGATCGTACATGTTTTAATACACAAGGTGCTTATGAATGTATAGATATTCCATGTCCTGTTGGTTATATTCGACAAAATGAAAGTGATTGTTTATTAAAATGTTATCAACGTTCACCGACATGTTCTCCTCGTCGAGCTATATATATATATTATAGATTTTTTGCTTTACCACGTTTAACAGCATCAAATCAAATCTTATATCATTTACCTATGACTCATCAAAATAAAAGTTCAATAAAAATAATTGATAAAAATAATTTCAATATATCTTTTCCTTTTATACTCGATGGATTTAATCTTAAAACAAATCGAACATTAATTGAATCAAATGAATATGAATTTGAAATACACTTATATAATAATGAATTCAATGGTAAATATTTATCTCATTATCGACATCATCGTCGTCGTCGATTACATACAATATTTGTAATACAAATAAATGTTTCTCCATTTCATTTTTGAACAGTTTTTATTCGAACAACTATTTAGACGAACTATATATACACAATAAAATTCAAATATATTCTTCAACATCAGCTTCTTTTTTTACTCTATTCCCTGTAAACAAACATTACATAAACGCAAATAAAAATAAGATTTTCTTTTTTTTTTTTCAAATTCTATTTTGAATTTTTTTCCCTTTTTTTTGTGTTGTTTTTTTATTATTCACAAATGACGATCAAATTCTTCTTCATCTAAAAATTTGTCTAATGCATCTTCAATTTTTTCTTTTGTTTCATCGGTTAATTTAAATGTCGACGGTTGTTTAGATTTTGCTTGATAATTTTGTTCAATAGCAAGTAATAAAGGTTTTGTTAAAGTTTCAACTTCTTCAGAACCTAATTTTTCTTCCACATTTTTAAATGCTATATTCATTGCACGATATGGAATATATGGAAATGAAGTTGGATTGTTCATTAAAATATGTAACATACCATGAACAAGATGATCAGTATCAGATTTCATTAAATAATAATAACGATGAAGTGTTTTTTCAGCATTACGAAATGCTTGTTCTAATGAATTATCTCCAATTTTCTCATTTAATGATATTTGTTTAACAGGAGTGGTTAAAACTAGACCAAATATATTTAATATAATAATAATATACGATGAACAAATCAACATTCTAAAAATAAAGATATGATTATAATATTTATTTATAACAGTAAAATAACGTAGATGTCAAAAGCACGCATATTTGTATGTACGTGATAGATCTGTGTGAATTAGAATTAATTTAAAAAAATAAAATAAGATGCTAGACATGCTTTGTATTCGGATTTATATTTATTAAGTTTGAAATGTACAAGAATAAAAAATAATTATATTTATATCAGTCTTAATATGTTTAAGAAGTAAAAATTGGTCTCTTAGTTGACATGTAATCAAAATATATAATGAAAAGAGTAGGCGTAATCATTTTTTTTTGTCACCTTTATTTGAAGTATATCTACCACTGAATTCTTATTATGACTAAATAAATTAAATACTGATTATTTATATCAAAAAAGAAAAAAATTTGGAGTTTATAAGAAATTTATCATATCGTACAAAAAATAAATATTAATATGCCTTAATAGTCAGAGAGGAGCACTAGCGAAAATATATTATTTAAACTGTATAGTTTGTTCAAAGAAATAAATAAGTATTTTATCATTACCTGTGAATTAGTCGAATTGTTAAAACTGTATGTTGTATGGGAATGTAAATGAATGAATTATATTTTTAACAATGAAAACTTTGCAATCTGTTTAGCAAAAATATCTATCTGGTTCGACCAGTTAAACAATATATATATATTTTCTCTTTTTTCTCTCTCTCTCTCTCTCTCTTATACTCACCTTTTCTCTATATTTTCATTTTTTCTCTCATTTTTTTTCTTCTCCTAGTCTTTATACATAATGATCTCAATTATATGTCATGTACTTAGATCTACTAAATTAATTTGTTTAATACGTCACAACTATATGTATATATATATAGTATCAAATTTATTATGACGTACTGGACTTTGATTCAATGCGTCATAAATTTATGTGTATATATCTATATATACTGTCAGATTCAATATAAGTTCACTCCCATTAAAAATGTATAATAAGAAACATAAACTTCTGAATCATTTGTTGCCAAATATAAAAGTTTTAAATAAAACTAGTTACGTCAAACCACATTTTACGCACTTTTAATATAATTAGTAATTATGCTCTTTTAAGTTTAGATCAAAAGTAAATGAAAAACGCCTACATTTATTTATAAAAATATTATCTATTGTTGTTTATTAATTTGATAGGTCAAATAAGTATGAATTCATATGCGATTTACTTTTTAAAATTAAACGAGTTAAAAATGTACTTGGAAACAAATTTCTTGTCATTTACATGATGATATAAATTTAATTTATTTCGAATAGAATAGAATACAATTAAAAAAAGAAAAAAAAATGAATCAAACAAGAAACGATGACTTTATCTTTTTTCTAAAAGTTAAAATAATTCTTTTTTATAAGCAAATCCATATTTACGACATTTTGTTGTTAATTCAGCTGATAATGCTGGTGGACCACAATAAAATACAGATATTTTACCTTTCTTTTGACTTAATAAATCAGTAAATACCTTAAATAGATAAATGAAAAACATATTAGAATATTTATTTGCTCTATCACAACTGTCAAATTATTAATAGTCCTAACTTTTTCAATCACACGCCTATATTATAGATTATTGTTGGAAAAGAAGAGTATGTGTTTGACAAGTACAAAACTAGGAGTGAAAAAAACTTTCTAAGAGATACTTTTGTATGAATTAATATATGTCAATTATAGAGACAAAATAAAGAAGATGTTTTTTATTAAAATCACACTATAAGGACAAGAAACATGATGATCAGACAAATGCTCGAATTTTTAATACGGGAACTATTCTTATTTAGAGATATATTATCTATTGTATTTGTTTTAATGAGAGAGAAAAACGCTAATCTTTGTTATAATTATGATAATCTGATATTCAATATACGAAGCAAGTTTCAATCAAAACATTTTGTACCGAAGAAAAAATTTCTTCCGTCATATATGTAGAACAGAAATCTAAACAAGTGTCAATAACAAAGAAATATATTTGAAGGATATACTGAATTTTTTTTTAATAAACAGATTTTAAAAGGTCACGTGACATTCACATGAATATATTCTTTATTAATATTTACGTCTATGATAGGATAGATGATCATATATATATCAATGTCGTAAAACGATAGATATCATAAGATTACATTAGTTAATGAAAAAATTTGTAATTCAGAACTACATATCATTTTATAATTATTATTAGAAAGGTCGTTTTAACCATTCGTAAAGTACTTTTCCTTCTTATCATGAACATATAAATTATTTGTAGAATATATATTTTACCGAAACTATGTTTACTATTGATCAAAGTCAAAGTATTTTTAACTTAGAATAAAATATGAAAAGAGTTTTATAGATCAAATAAGTAGAATAAAAAATAAACGTTATTTTGTTTTTCTTACTTGTTCCCATTTTGGTCGACCATGTTTAATTCTTTGTCTAAGTCCATCAATTGCATCACAATTAGATGAATTTTCTCTTCCAATTAAATCAAGTGATAAATAAACATTTAATGCTTTTAAATCTATAGGTGATTGAGCACTTGTAACATATAAATGAACTTCAAGTAAAGGACCTTTATCAGAATTTTGTCTTAAACGTTGTTGTTCGATTTCCATTTGTGCTAATAAACTAATAAACCATTCAAGTGAACGTTGTTCGCGTGTTACCCATATAAAATCAACCTTAAGAAAATGTTCATTAAATAATAATAAGAAGAAAAACAAAACAAAAAAAATCTATTTTACTTTTTTAATACGAAGTTCTTCACTTTCAGGATTATTCCAAATAAATTCACAATGTGGACATTTATGTCGACGATTTCGATATCGACACATAATACTTTGTAAAATTGATGCAAATGGTGTGATACCTATACCAGCCGCTATTAAAACTGCATGTTCAGCTTCAAATATATGTTGAGATGGTGCACCATATGGTCCATCAATTAAAACCTAGAAAGAAAAAAATTTTTTTTTGTTTTATTTCATTTTATAATTATTTAATTTACTTGTAAATCTTCTCGATCATTGAATTGAAGTGTATTAAATTGTATTCGATTATGATTTTTATACATACGTAAATATCCAAGTGCATCAGAAAAACGTGTTTCACTAAATTCTATATGTTTTTGTTCATAATTATCTGTTGATATATTTGATATTCTTATACAATAATCCCCAATACTTGGAACAGTTAAACGATTAGGATTATTATTATTATTATTTTTAATAGCTGGTTTAAGTCTTGTCATTGGCTTTATTTGTTGTTCATCCATTAATACATCATCTTGTTCATACGCATATTTTTCAATTTCTTCAACAGTTAAATTATCAAGTGTACTTGGATTTATTAAAATTGTTGCATTCGTATGATTTTCTTCTGTATGCATCTGATTTATTCTACCTTTTGAATTTAATTGTATATCATGTAAACTTAATGTTGAATGACATGATGAACAAATAGATCTCCTTTGATTTTTATTCACTAATGGAAATGATACTGAAACTGCTTTTGATTGTATACAATCATCATTATTATTATTAAGATCAAATTGTAAATGATCTTCTTGTTGATTAACACCTCGTAATTCATCAATATAACTTTTTGACATGCGTGATCGCATTGATGAACGAAGACGTAGATCATTAAAATCATTTAATACACCTCCGTGTTCTTGTTTTAATTTCATTCGAAATAAATCATAAACACGGCGTGTCCAATGACCACTTGCACGTACATGAAGCCAAATACTATCTGAATAATTAAAAGATTTGCACATTTTTCTTTTTCAAAATAATTATTTAGTCGTAAACAAATCACTTCAATGAATACTTTCAAGTATTTAATGATTTAATATCCTCGAGAAAATATAATATCTAATTACATAATTAACTATAGTTTATAGTGAACTTTGAGCCTATTTAAATATGATTCTTTAAAAGTACATACAAATTATTCTAATATTACAAATTCTATAAATATAGAAAAAGCCTACTCATTCTTCTATATTATAAAAATGAGAATGTCTAAACCATGCTAATTACTAATATGCAGTTTTTTTTTAATGAACTAATAGTTCTAATCTATTATTACATGTGTCAAAGCGGACATTTATCATATTCAGTTTTTCAAAGTCATAAATTTCGCGTCATTTTATTAAATAAGAAAAAGAATTTTTTTTTCGGGGAAAGTCTTGTCTAAGATTTGAAGAGAAAGATTTTTTATTAAAATATAACTTGAGAAACGCTTTTTAATACTTATTATTGAAGTGATAAGTTTTCATACCTTTGTGTTCTGGAGCACTACTGATACTAAATGGATGCCATTCAAAACTAGCTACAGCTGGAATATTTATATAGATATAATCTCCAGGTTTATAAGTAAATTTTCTTGGTTTATTGATAACTAAATGAATAACCTAGAAAAAATCAAGAATTAAGTTTCTGTTTTTTTTTCGAGATATTTATTAATACTTGAGATGGTAATAGAATAGCTTCCATTATAAATGTTTCACCATGTTTATTTGAACGAGATTTACGATAACGTAAGATCTTTTCAATAATATATAAAATTCCAGGAACTAATAACCATTTCCAAAATCTTGGTCCATGTACAAGCATAATAATTAACCATGGTAATGTTAACATATGACACCAATAAAATAACTAAAAAAAACAATTATGTATTTTTAAATAAAATAAGTTTAGTTTTACTTGGAAATGGCCACTTTTCCGTACAAATGGTAAACACATTATATAAATAAGTGCACCTAAAAGGAATTCAAGTACTCCTGTTATATAACCAAGTCCTAATTTAGCTGTAAATATTGCATCAACATAACGATGATATGTATCACGATATGGTTCTATAGATAAATAATTTTGAAGAAAAAAAAACAATAGGAAACCTATAGATTCTTACTACAACGAAGTACACATAAATTTTCTGTATGAAAATGATTCCAATTTCCACCACATCCAAGATATCCAAATGGAACACATTTATTTACTAAAGAATCAAATCGATAACGTTTCGTTACTATCATTTCATTATTTAATGATTGATTATATAAATTAGATTGATGGATATTCGTACTATTATTATTACATGAAGAGCCAATATCTTCAGATAATGAACAAATATAAAATACATAACCTAAATAAGCTAAATGTGCAGCTGTATGTAATGCTGTTTCAATCATAATAATAATTCCAATGGTTTTATGTATATCAATATGATGATCAAGGGGAAGAAGAATACCACCACCTTTTGATCTTAACCATGTTATATGTTTACGAAGCATTAATATCAGCATTAAAGCACAATTAAAATTAAGCATACCACCTAAAAATAAAAATTTTTTGTTTTTTTTTGTTTTCGAAATAAAAATTTTGATTACCATTCAGTCGAGCTATTACAATAAGAAAATGAACACGTTGTTGACCAACATAAAGATGAATCACATCAACACAAATACAAGTACATATAAATGAATATAATGACCAAAAGAAAATTAAACCAATATTATTTCGTATCCAAGCACGAACTGTTGATGAACGTTTATGATATTTACTAATTGATACAGGTTTAGGTCGAATCCAACTGCTTGTACTACAAGACATAAGATTTTCATATATATTTATTCATTTATTAAAATCTAAATTTTACCTAAGTGAAAGTACTTTAAATAAATGTTCATTTCGTTTCAATGCATTTGATAATTCATCGAAATTAATATCACCTGATTGATCAATATCAGTTTCTTGAAATAAAGTAGCAGTTAATTCAGCTAATGTTTCTTCCATATCAAGCGAAGGAGATTCTTCCAAAAAACAACGAAGTAATAATTTCATTTCATCAAAATCTATTGTTCCATCACCTACAAAAAACAAATTTTTTAGATTTAAATTTTTAAATTTTATTTAAGAAAAACAAACCATCACGATCAAAGATTTTAAAAAGAAATTCAACTTTTTCATTATCATTTGCTTCAACAATAAATTCCAAATTTCGAATAAATTTATCTAATGTTAATCGACCAGTTTTATCTGTATCAAGATAATTAAATAAACAATCGGCTAATTCAGGCTTAGAAATATATATTTTAATTCTTATTTTAATACAAAAATCATATACATACTACTTTGAAATAAAAACTATTTTTAAACTTTTCCAAATCCATACTATCATCCGATTGAGTACCATGATTTGTCATTCCACGACGTTTACCAACTGCTAAATGAAATTGATAAGCAAGCCATGAAAGCCATTTCGTATCTGATTTAAGACTAAAAATTAAGAAATATATATATTTTCTTATGAAAAATTATATATAGACTTTGAAACAGATCGAAGTAAATCAGTAAATTCCATAATATTTAATAAATTCGATTCACCAATAAACAATAAAGCAAAATTTCGTCGAAACTAATAGAAAGAAAATTGAATGTTTATTTATTTTGTTTTTTTTTGTATTACATACCGATAGATCTTCGAATAATATATAAAAAACATCTATAGAAAGTGAATCAGATCCATGTGAAAAATGTCGAAAAGCACGTATGAATGGTTCGAGTGTTCGAACATCTTTTGTGCGATTGGATATCCTGTTTAAATATATAATGATCAAATGTTTGTTAAGACAAAATAAATGAGAATATCATGTACACATACTCGGCCACTTTATATACAGATCCAATCCATTCAGATTCAGAGAGTAAACCGCTTGAATCACGATCGAACAAGCAAAAAATCGTCTCCAACAATAGCTGAGAATAGAAAAAGAAAAATCAAATGAAAGATCATGTTTCGTAAATATTAAAAAAAAAGAAAGAAAACGGAACAAGAGAAAACGTTATATGAGAGTTTATTCATACTTGTTGTCGAAGAAGATGCATAAATTCTTGGAAATCTATATGTGGACGACCGATCAATTGACGTTGCCATCGTTTTATAAGATCTTCTTTTTTTTGGTGAAACAATAGTTCCTGATGATGACATCATACATATATATCTTGTGAATTGATACTAAGTTTATACGGTAATTTTATGCTTTTCTCTTTTTTTTCTATCTTTCTATACTATTTTCTATGTATAGGTGCAACGTCAAACAGAATAGAATGACTATCATCATAACACGTGTCATCTGTATTTATATTTAAATCAACTTGTTCGATGATGATCAGAAAAACAAACGATTAAACCGGCATAAATATCGATAAAGAACTATCTCTCATTTTTTATTTGAATAAGAATATAGATCTTTTCAATTAACATATGATTATCGTTTATTTCAAGTGTTTCTTTGTACTTCGACAAAATGAAGAAATGATTTTAAGTTAAATAGTCAAAAATTAATATAATATTTTTAGGTACAGAATAAGACCACGATTTTTGTCATTTTCTTTTCTGCCGATTGTTTTGGTACGTCTGAGGTTATTATAGGGCATTAATACATATCGACTAGATGTACTTTTATTCATTTTCTCTTTTTGTTTATTTTAATATCAAACAAGAAGATAGATGTCAGCTGTTTGTTCGACTAAATCAAATATTATCAATAAATTTTCATAATAGATTTACCCGAAATAAATCATTTATCATCATGTTAAATATGCATAAGAAATTTTCATCTCTTTAATCTTGTATATTATATTTTTCAGTAAAATTTTCTTTTCAGAAAAACAAAACAAAACAAAACATAGATCATCTCTCAATTGAAATTTTCCTGCTATTATCCCTAACTTTCTTTTCACTCTTGTCATTTAAGGAAACAAAAAAACGAAGAAGAAGAAAAACATTAAATTCAGGTGTCATGGACATTGAAAAAGAAACCACAAGACAACAAAAGAAAACTTTGACAATTCGAACATATCCATCATGTCGAGAAAAAAAAAGAAAAACCAGAACGTTGAATGATCACTATGTGGCGAGAACAGAATAAATGAAATAAACACAACTATATGCAATACATAAGACACATACACAAGAAGAAAAAAAAACAAACGACATGCTCAATTATTTTTTATGCTTAACATACAACATAAGGAACCGGTGATCGGTGACTTTTGTTGTCGAAATAGTTTGACAATATTAGTTGGTTAATTTGTGTGTTTTTTTCTCTTTTGAGCTGTTGAATATATAGAATACAATGACAGATAGAATATACAAAGAAGCAACAAATGCGCACAAAAAAACGACATCAAAACTCAAAAAGAAAAACAAGAAGAGAAATATGAACACCGGTCATGGAGAAAGATAAGACGAGAGAGAGATAGAGATAGAGCGAAAAAGATAAACATTCGAATTTCTATGTAAGATCTATTGAAATATATTTATACATATTATAGAGTTTATAATATTTTTGGTTTTTTAAGCAGCTCCACTTGTAACTGCAGATGATTCTTGTTGTTGATGATGATGATGACCCATTTGATCCATCATACTATTTGGACTTGTTGATACAGGATAACCACCTGGATACATCATCATCATTGGATTTCGAAATTGTGACATTTGAGCATAAGATCCAAAAATATCTTAATAAGAAAAAAAACCTGCTTTTTTTATATTTCATTAAATTTTCTTATGTATATATTTATATATTTACCATGAGGTGCTGTTGGATAACCACCACCAAATTGATAATGCATAGCAGCAGCTGCTGCTGCATCAGGAGAATACGGACCAAAACAATCAGTAAATTCAGTTGGAATAGCTGCTAGAAAAAGAAAACAAACAAAATAGATATTATTAATTTAAATAAACTCGATATTCTTTTTTCTTCTTTTTTTTTTTGATCACATAGTCTGTGTTATTTCACGCATTCGTGCAAATAATTAACTTTGACAGCAAAAGGAAAAAGGAAAGGCGAAAGAGGTGGAGCAATAATAGTATAGAACAATTGTTCAAGTGTCTTTTTGAATTAGATTGACTAGTCTATCTATCGCATTCCTGATGGTGACACAAAGAGAGGAGAAAAAATCAATCTAGTTTTAACTATTGAAATGTCACACGAGATTGCTATCGATTCAAATTTAGACAGAAGCATTTGTCAAGCATAAGAATAATAGATAGATTCATTTTATCGACAAACGGCAAAATGAATTAGAATTATAATAATAGGGAAATCAAAGCAGCAGAAGAAATCAGCAGTATGTGCACACACATATATATGTTAATGCAGAAGTAAAACAGGAATCTACCTTTTTGAGCATGAGCTGGAAAAACAGAAAAAAGGAAGATTATCATTATTATTGTAGAATACGTTTTTTTTTATAATAATATAAATAGAGAAGAAAGCATTAGATATAAAATCATGGTTAGATATTTTCAATTTATGAGCATTTAATACTCTTGCCTTTCGTCATATATGAAAGGGATGATCGTTTTGAAATAACTGATGTTTTAGAAGAATTTGGTCGACGACATAATTTTTTTTGATTATGTGGTACTCCTCGTCTTCGATTCGGATGCTGCTGCTGCTGCTGATTACGTTGTTTTATCATAGTAGTACCAGGAGATATACATATTGATGTCGGTACATGCGAGAGATTTTGTCCAGGAAGATCTTCACTAACATTTATAGTTAACTTACCAGCACGATTTGATTGATCAATCATTGGTTGAACTATACGACGTCTGGCATTGATAAACCTATAAATATACATTATAAAAAAAATATAAGACAGCATGAGATTCTTTTTTACTTGAAGGATAAAAGTGGCTTATTAGAAAAAGTATATATACAACTATGCGCATATCTTTCAAGTCAATTGAACGTGTTTATTTTACTATAATAGCCACCAACAGATATTGTAGAGGTTAATTATCATCTGTGCGGTATATATATATTTCTATCTTATGATGTTTTTCCGATACATTTATATTAGTTTTTTTCGTTTTCTTTAGTTAATGATAAACATCAAATTTTCTTTTGTTCTTATATTTTAAGTTTTTTTTACAATAATAATCTATAATTTATTGATAATAAATTAGATTAGTCAAGTTAATTTGACCTTTTTTTTTTCTATGATAAGAATTCTTCGATAAGGACAAGTTCTGTTCTATATACGACCTCGAAAACCTGTCAACAATAGAAGATAGACAGATTTGTTTACAATATCAAGATATCTATATAAGCAGTAGGAGGCTCGAAAGACGAAAAAAAAAAGAAGATAAATGATGTCCATTTTGTATAGAGAGAGAGAAAAAATGAGATACGGTAACGATTCTATCCTTAGGGATATGTATATACAAACAAGACTGTTGCTAATGCAATAGTTTAGATTCTTCTCCTCCTCATTCTACTAATGCGATTTTAACGATCATATGAAACAATCGATCGTTGTCAACAATATATCCGGCCAGATGTTTTTCTCAAAACTTTTATATAGACAAAATATTATCAACAGGAGATCCAAACAACAGACAGAGAGGAAAAAACGTGACCTATCATTTATGTAGTTATATTGAACGGCTGTTGCACGCATTATCATCATCACCATCAATATTAGCGCAATAGGTTCTGTCATTTTGTTTGATCTCTCTCATTTCTTTACTATTTTTTTTTGTTTTATTTTGTACATGATAATGAAAAAGTCGCGTGCATGCTTATAATGATGATCATCACGATAATGTTTACCGCTACAAGCGTATCGTCAGCTGGCGTATATTTGTAGCATCAAACACATCTAGGCGACAAATCATACCGCTATATATACATACATATATATATATTCTAATCGCATTTTATCACGAAAATGCCTTTTTGACAGGTCAATTGTTATATGTGAGAATGTATATAACACTCAAAAGATCTCTCTCCTTTTTTTAATTTTCTTTCTGCACGCTATATTACCATTGAGTATCAGTCAACGAATTGTTTACTTTATTAATTGACCGTACGATTACTCTATGTTGATCATACGCGTCGAACAGATATATTTATATATATATATGAGAATAGAAAAGTTTGATCGTTATTATTGCCGACATGTAGAAATAACAAACTGATGAAGAAGAAAAAAGAAGTCGGCAAATGGTAACAAGTCTTAAATTGAGAGTAAACATAGAGTTTTAGCCTTATGGAAATTTATAATTGGATAAAATAAAAAGAACAAGAAAATCTAACCAATCGAAACAGTTTTACTCTTTAATGGAAAACCTTTCTATTCTATCTACAACATACTCTCTATGCGTTTATAAATAATGAAATATTTAACTTACCAATTATTAACTAAAATAAAAAAAAAGAAATTATAAATAAAAGTTAAAAGAATCATAAAAAAATTATTTTACCTTGTAAAATTGTTAAACCAGTATCTTGAGCTAATTGTTTCTTTTGTTCTTCGGACGGATATGGATGCTAAAAGATAAAAATTTCTCAAAAATTTATTGTTATTAAATAAAAATATATACAGTTAAATGTTGAAATAACCATGCTCGCATTATATTTGTAGCAACTTTTGGAAAAATACCACGTTTTTTTTTGACGTTTCTTTGAATTATCATCAAGATCATCTTCACCACCAGTATTATCACCACCTGAACCTACACTGTTATCAAAATTGTCACCTAAAATAGAATATATATAAATAAACCAATGAATTCAATCGCTTTAAAGAACAATGAAAGGTGAAGCCTTATATATTTAAAGAGTATTCATATTTCTTTCTTTTCACTCCTCCTTATAAGCAATTATGATTGATTGACAGGACTACTAGTCGGACAGCATAATGCATTTTGACAGTCGATTTGTGAAATAGCATTAGATTTAAATCGACAAGAAAGAGCATTCGAATATAATTAGCATATATATTCTAAGAAAACGGTATAGAGAAAAGAAAACCGTTCGTTTCTTAATAGAGTGTGAAATCAGAGATGATTTTAATTTTCAGTCTAGTACACAGATGTATTGAATTAATGTATAGAGAAGATGTAAGATGAGATGAATAGTAAAAGTGAAAAACAGAAGATGAACAACTGTTGTTATATTTTTGTTTTTTTTGTTCTAAATGAAGAAAATTTTCAATTAATATTTTTATTCTAAATGATAAAAAATAAAAAGACATGTGATTGTGTTCATCATCATCATCAGTCAAAATGAATTCGTTTGGGAACTCAAAATGAACATGCAGACAGATTGGTAATGTTTTTATTCGCAATTATTTCTAGAAAATAGAAAGCAATGAATGATTTGGAGATTAGCTGTTCCCTTGCGTGTATGTATTGCAGACAATATTAATAATAATGAAATGTCGATGGGTAATTCTGTTCTTTCTGTGATTAGCTTTTTTCTTTTTTTTGTATACATATATATATATATGTATAAATGAAATGAGAAAAACATACCCGTTTCACTGTTGTTATCATGTAGTATATGATAACTATTTGTTGTATTTGCCATATTAGTCATTGTTGTTTGATTTGTATTTGGAGTATTTGCATCTGACGAAGAATGTGTCGATTGTGTATCATCATTATGAATTGAATGATGATTTGGTTGTTGATGAAAATGTTGTTGTTGTTGTTGAGATAAATGAGTTAAAACTGATGGATGATGACCAGTATTATTACCAAGAAGATGATTTGAATAAGATGGATGTGGTGGTGGTGGTAGTGGTAATTGTTGTTGAAAATGTGTTGATGGAGGTGGTGGTGGTGGTTGAAGATGATGATGATGAGATGAATGACCAAAATGATGTGGTGAAACAAGAGGTGTTAATTGTGACGTTGTTGTCATCGATGAACAATGTGATGATGATCGAAGCTAAATATAAAAACATGTCTATGATGATGACTTTTCAATGAGGGTAGATCAAGTATGTGTACACTTGAATGGATATCATTCATTTGGAAAGACAAAAGAGAACGAAATGTTTGTTTACATATGTTCATATAATTATTATAATAACATAGAATACATTGATATTTATATAAAACAGGTGTTTGTATTATTCACAATATCGGATAATGTTCAAAAAAAAGAAGAAAAATGTACTTACAGATTTAGGTTGATGAGGAAGATTATATCCTGATGGTGTTGTTGAACCATCTGGACTATGTTGATTATAAGATGATGAACGTGATGATGTTGGTGGAGGATGTGGTGGAAGTCCATGTGGTGGTTGTGGACTACCTGGATCATCATCTTGATCATCTTCATCACCTGATTTTGATGATGAAACATTTGAATCACGTTCATCGATTACTAAATCCATTGGTAATTTTCCTTTTAAACAAGTTATATAACGATGAGTAAAATTATCGCATAATTCATGAACCTAAATGATAAAAAGAAGAAAAAAACTTAGATATATAAACTATTGTTAATAAGTTTGTACTTGACTTCTTGCTAATTTTCTTTTGATTGATATTACTAGTGAATGTATTCTGTCTTATCTGTCTGATAAATCGGTCAATGAGTGAAAAGATGTCTCATATATATTGTCTTAGTGTAAGTGAAGAGAAGAAAAAAAAAGAAACATAAACCTATGGTTGTTGATTAAGATAAATTTTCTTTTCTCGACAAGTGTCGACAGAAAAAATAGATTATGATTATTATTTCGGACTGTTCCCTAATGAATCTATGTATATTCTTCTTTCTCTCCTATCTATGAACTATATACAAGATACTGTACTTTTTCTAATTCCAAAAGATGAAATCGTAACACTTGTATTGATTGAAGCATCTAAATAATAGTAAGAATAAGTTAATAGAAAAAATTTATAAAAATAATTAAAAACATACCACATTATCCAATTCAGGATTGGTTGTTATATAATTTGGATCTTTTTGAAGCTGAAATAACAAAACAAAGAAAAGTTTTTTTTTATAACGGAAATCTATTGAATGACGGATATATTTCCTTTATTTTTTATTTTTAGTTCAATCAATCATCAAAAAAAAAAGAGGGAGCAGCAATATAATAGCAGGTGCTTCCGAAACAAAGCATTTCCGCATATATAGACATGAACATTGCACAACAAAAGAAAATTTGCTAGTTCGATTTGCATGAGATTTTCTTTGACCTCTCATCTTCTTCTTCTCCCTCTTGTATCTTCTTCACATAAAAAGCTAATGACATTTTAATGATACCCTCAAGCTTTTTCTCCCATTTACACCATTGAACAATACAAAAAGCTAACTTGTTCTATTCCTTCATTTTTTTGATAAGATGATGACCATGATCTGATTTGCTCTTGGGATGATGTGAGCATTTCTTTATCTTAAATAAGATCAGATCAACAAATAGCACGTGCTTACAAGCATTAATAATAGCATAAGCACACACACATATATTATATATATATATATACATGTGTAGACAATGAATGTCTTTGAGAGAGTTAATCGCATTTTCATTTCATCAAATCAACTAATGAAATATTCATTTGACATAAGTGCCACTACGTTGATTACAGGCATACATACACCTATACTTTGTGTCACTTGAGTATATTGAACAATATTGTTCAAACTCAGCATGACATTCCTTTTTCTTACGACTCTCAAAAAAGATAAGTTTTTTAAAAATAAAATAAAAAAGGAAATCCAATTGGCAACATCTGTAAAAGTATGACGTGAATGTATATAGTCGTTTTTTCTCTCTCTCTCTCTTGCTCGTGTTCTTGAAATTTTTTATCATAGTTTGTTCATTCAAGTATCAATCTGACAGGAGTGAGGAGGTCATAATCGTCAACTTATGTGCATATGGGTATATATATATGATCTAGTATTGACTTTTCATTTATTTTCTTGTTCAAGTGGCTTATCGAATGTTCATCTTGCGATAACACACACATACAGTAGCTCGATATTGCAAACTTTATGTACTTCAATTTAACCCTCTGTGTTCATTTTTAACTTGAATACATTTTGATGATAAGACATGTAACATATATCAATTTTACCTGTTTAGTAAATTCAGCAATATCGTCATTAAATGATTCAGATGAACAAACATCTCCTGGTCCACCTAAATCTCTTGGTGTACAAGTCGCTAATTCACATTTTTCAAAGATTAATGCCAGTAATGGAAATAATGGATGACTAAAAGAAGAAAATAAAAAAAAATGAAAGATTGGTCTTATCTTCTTCTTCTTCTTTTTGATAGTTGAACTATAATTATGATCAAACATCAAGAAATTGATCTATCTCTTCCTTTTATTCTTTTTTCTTTAGCTTCAAGCACTTTTCATATGTGAAAATTACAGAGAAAGATTTTTGATATTTTTTTTTTATATTACGATTACGATCGTATCATTTTACATTTTGAGTTATATTAATAACAGTAGTCTTGATAGTGAGAAAGAAAAAAACGAACCAATAAAAATTTATATCTACAAAGTTATCATCGTAATAAGTATTTTGCTATGATTTTAGCAACCGAGAAAGGAGCAGCAGGCGTAATGATCATCAATCACTGTCATACGCATGCGAGAACTTAGAGAGAGAAAAAAAACTCAAGCAAATATATATATATATACACATACATACATAGTGTAACTGTGGGGAAGAAAAGAAAAAAAAAAGCAAAGAGAGTACCCAATGAGACGATAAGAGTTAGAAATAGACAGCGAAAAAGATCTCGATTGTATGGTTGCTTTTTTTTCTCCGTTCCATACTGGTTTTGTCTATCGAATGATTATTAGTAAGTCAGTGGTATGCACTAACGCACACATAAAGGCCATCCACTATGATCACTAGTAGAAACAACAACATCATCATCATCTTCTTAGAGATAGCAACCAACCGAGTGATTACAAAGATAGGCCAGCCGGAGCGAACAAGATGATTAATAAAGAAACAAACTCATGAAGCGTGTGTGTGTTGTGTGTACATGCCTTCTCAATACCCTGATATAAATCTAGTTATTTTCTGTTTCTGCCTCTTGAATACGTCTATAGATCACTTGAATTATTTTTCTTTTTTTTTGTTTTCTTTTGACAATTTATTGTCTTTAAAAGGTATATACATAAATCTTCCTAAGAGTATACTTTCGTCAATCAATTTAACAAAAAGAAACGGAAAGAAAAGTCAGAACACGAGAGTAAAAAACATATGAAGCGTGAAGATAATGATCGGTTTCGAAATTACAGCTGTGTATATGTATGCAAAAGGGAAAGAGAGACTACGATGAAACGAAATATACAATGTATATACACTTGCTTGAAGGTGATTTGCCTCAACGACTTTCTCATCATTATCATCAATGAATAGAAGAAACAAAAGCTGTTCATCTTCTCTAACGATTAACCATACGAAAGTAACAATCAAACGAATTAAACACGAGATCTTTCGATATCCGTAATGCTACTTATTTATGTACAAAAATCTTTCTCTTTAATTTTCGTAATTAATGCATTTTAAAAAGTATAAAGGATGAAAAATTTAGTTACTATTGGCATACACAAACATATGTATGAAGAAAACAAATCAGTTGTCAAGAAACGAAAAAAAAAGAAATTAAAACACACATTTCTTTTACTTTTTGCTTACTCAGTTTCATCAGAAGAGATACAAAATAGATAAATAAAAAAGTCAGGGTTTGTTTTTTTAGGTTCTTTCATTTTTTCTATATAGTATTATTTACCTGTAAATCATATCTTTTTGTTGTTTAACTTGATTATCGACGTTGACACTGTTCGAATGATTGGTTGTTGATGAAGATTCATTAATAGATCCAAGAAGAGTTTGTAAATGATGAGGAGCTGATTGTGGAGAAGTTTCATTACTAAATGTTTGAGAATATAGATTGCTATTACCATCGGGACCATTTGTCGTCGAAAAGTTTCCACTACCATTTCCGTAATAAGGTCCATTTGTATCTGTGAGTAACTAAATATATATATATCAAAAAATAAATAAATAAATAAATCTCATCAATGATCGAATGTCAAAATTGACATCACACAAATTACCCTCTGAGCAGCCATTGATCTATCGAAGTCGACGTGTTCAAGACGACATGACTAATTTACTTGTCGGTTAGACGAAGACGGCTAGAGATAGATGGATGGATAGATGAAGATCATCATTCATTAAACAAGACAACGCAGTTGTTTTCTTCGTATTTTTCTTTTTTTTTTTCTTTTTTTCTCCCTCTCTCTTTCTTTGCTTCTCTATCTATCTATAACTGTCTGTTTTGTCTCGTGTCTATTTACGTCTCAGTTGTCGAGTCGTAGCGTGTAATGGATACGCTTTATATCTGTCGAATTTAATAGGACTATGTGACGTGATCGATGTGTGTGATTTGATAGATTTCTGGATGTCAATCTTTATCCGCAAGCACAAACGTCTCACCTTTTCGCACTTTCTCTCTTTTCTATGCACAAGAGAGAAAAAAAGAGAGAAAGAGAGAGAAGAAGAGAGACACAGAGAAGAGAAAAACAGAGGCTGTTCTTTACAGAAAGAGAGAAAACTGACGACGAAACAAGCGAACACTTGTAATTACTCTTAATGTGAACGGTTACTCTCGACCATTCAGCAATCGAGTTGCTCTTTCTCGCTTCTCCTTATTTTTTTCTTCTTCTCCTTTTCTCTTTGGACGAAGAAAAAAGGATTTTCTTCTTTAGCTTGTATATTGATGTCGATTATATGCGTGTGTGTGTGCGAGAACAAGCAAAAAGGCGAGTGTTGGCGGGTATTGTCGACAACGAGGCATAGAGAAAGAAAACGTTTGCAGGTTTGAGATTGGGTGAGATAAAAAGTACTGCAGCCAGTGTGTCGCATGCAGAAATGGAAGAGAGAAAGAGAAAGAAGAGGAAGTAAGCTCAATTTATTCTGATGTCGCAATGGAATTTTTTTTCCTCTTTTTTCTGTTTTTCTTTCCACTACAAAAAAAAGATCTCTTATGTAAAAAAAACGAGTTACTGAATGAACAAAAGATTATTATTAACGCATCGACTCACATTTGTAGTCGAGTGGTTATATTTTTGTTAGACTTATGATGAAATACACTGGCACTTGGATGGAAAAGGGTGGAGAAGAAAACGACATTGACGTTGCCAACGGCAGAAGCAAAGTGTGTCATATCCAATCAAAATTCAGACGAAGATTGATTGGTAGATGACGATGTGACGTGCGACACATCAAAAAAAGAAAAAAAAAGAAGAAGAAGACGGCATTAGACGAAAAGAAAAGACTTAAAATATAATTCTCATCTTATAACGAAGAGATTTTTCAAAAACTATGTTACCATATAATATCAATATGTTGACTTAAAAAATTAAATATAGATTATTTAATATTAATGATCAGAAACGAATTCATTTCAATTATAGCTTATCGTTTTCAATCGATAGTTTTTCTCTATATTTTACGATTTAATTTCACGACAATCTGTCTGTAAAATCATAAGAGCTTTTTAATAGTATCATAGAATAATCGTTAATCATGATTTTATGACGAACATATCGTTATTGTTATCAAATAGAATCAACAAAAAATAATAATAATAATCATTTCTACTTCTCGATAAGAAATTAGAAAATAATCTATATTCTATGGTATAATATTGTTTATATCATTTTCGAATTGTACTTGAAGAATTGATTCAATATACAAAGCTAACTAGAAACTTTCATAATACTATATATATATATATGACTATCAATCAAATCAAACAAAAGATGAATGAAGTGCGTGAGGGTGTATGATGTTTGAAACTAATTCTCTTTTTTTTTGACATCTATACGTAATAAGAAATTATTTCTGTCATACATTCAAAGTTTGATCAATCATTACTATTTCATTTTGATGAAATATTCTTACTAACATTTGTTAAATTGACATATATATATATTGAGCATAATTTTTTTTGTTCACTAGTTCAAAAAGTCTAGCAATCTCATTTTCTTATGCTCGGTTTTTTTTTATAAAGAGCAATCATAATAGCAATATAAAAAAAAACTTTTGTCATCGTGCGACGCCGTTTTGTGTTCTCTAGAGAATTTCCACAACCCATCAATCTTTTACTTAGTATAGTTCGTTTGTTCAATATATACATATATATGTATGCTAAACAAAAAGAAGAAAGAAGCAATGGCAAGCGCGGCATGTTTTTTTTAAAAAGATGTTCTGCATTCATTTTCTTCATCTGTTCCATATATATATATACACACACGCACATAGAATTCTAGTTGTACGAACTATGCGTTCCGGATCAATAAAAAATTCTGATGAATACATGACAACATTGAAATTAGTTGTTATACAAGAATAAACATCTTTTTCTTTTTTTCAAGAGTCCTTGACTACAATCAAGTATCATTTTTACCCATTGACTTTAACTAATTAAGAAAAAGAGGAGACACCAACGTCGTCTTTATTTCTCACTTTAGTCCATCAGTCAATCGTTTATTTAGTGTGTTGATCGTTTTTCACACATACTTTGAATTAATGGAATTTAACACTTACTCTTCTCGTGGAAAGTACTTGCTTTCACTGATCTATTTACACGTACTTTGATCCTCTTCAAATTTTTTTTCTCTTTATTCACTGTTTGTTGTGCATCGATAAACCATATCATATTCAAACACATTCATCTATATATATACATGTAATCTTTAAGAAAAGGCGAGCAAGTCTTCTATTTTCACATTTATGTATAACTATTGTATTCATATATATATAATCAAGAAAATTTATCGCTTAGTATGCGTCGTCGCGTTTTGATGATCTCATCATAAGAAAGAAAAAAAAGACAATCAAGCAAGCGAGAAGGTGAACTCAGCCACTTAGCCTTCACATCTATTCATTATAATCGAGATCAACAACAAAAAAAAGGCATGATGATTGATAGTGGACACAGACGACAGATCATAAATGCTTACAAAACAAGTGAACCTATGATTATTGCTATTCGATTATGCACATACCGCATTCTCCCACATCACACTAAAGTATATAGCGGTATATGCGGTCCACTCAATTGATTATGCATATTTTTTTTTTATTCATTTAAAATTTCTTTTTCGCACGTTATATGGAAATACAAATTCACTTGACTTTAACCAGTCATCCACATATACAGATATTTGCCTGGCTATTATCGATAGTTTGTGTTTGTGTCGGCATTCTTTTCTCTTGCAAAAGAAAAGAAAAGAAAAGGTGTTGATCAACATAATGTGATGAGAAAGTCTGGTTTGCGTGTGCGGCAACGATGGACTTTGTCTTCTTTTGTTTGACTATCTGTCTTAGTTATCACTAATTGTTGAAATACGCAAATGAGCATCGACATGTGCACGCGCGAATACTGGTCAACACAGAGTTAAATGTCTTTGATGTGACAAATCTGATTTGGATTAATCGAAACGAATATTTCCTTTTTCTCATGAGAGAGACAGGAGACAACAAAAGAGAAGAAGAAAAAATCTATGAAGAATAACATAAAATAAGTAAACGGAAGAGAACACATAGATTCTTAATTTTCTCGGAGTATGCATCAATATAAACGAATATTTGATTCCCAAGTGTCGTATCAAGAATGTTATTTTAACTAAACTAACTTTTTCCTGATGAACAATAACATATATATATGTAGTAAAATGTAAGAATCAAAATGATATGTGACAACCTGAGAAATAAAAAAAATGAGTTACAAACTCTTTTTGAAAAAGTGTTTTTTAGTCATTTATTAATATATATATATATATATATACACTCAATTTTGACATATACTTGATATCGAAACAAAAGTGAATAAAGTTTACATCAACTTCAATCGATCAAATAATACTCAACAATGAATGATAATAGTAGTAGTAGTATAGTTAATACTTTGTGTATTCATTATTTCATAGAATTCTAAGTATACTTGAACAATGAAATGTTGAAAGTATTTCTTTTCATAATAAACAATACATATAAAATAATTTCTATGACATTGGTTACTGGAATAAATAGAATCTGAACTATTAGCTTTATTAAAAAGATTTTTTATTCAAGTTTATATATTTCATAGAATTATTATTATTCTTTGTGTAAATTTTAATTTATATATCTACAAAGAAGAAGAAAAATAATCATTTGAATTCGCAAATACATGGAAAAGAAAAAGTCGGAAATAAGAATTGTTTCGATTTATTTTGCATCTAATCGACTTTCGCGATCCATAACTGATTGTGCAAAAGTTATTACATGAGTTGTACCACGAGGTGCTTGATGTGTATGAACTTTACATGTCTATATATTTAGAAGAAAGAAAACAATATAACTATCATAATTTCAATTCAATACTACATACAAAACCACTTGTACATAAAATACCTTCTATAATACCAGCAACAAATGATGCGTAATTTAAATTTCCTAAACAAAAAAAAATCATAAAGATTTATTTCGAAATATTTTTATTCATACCTTTATCTTTTGGTACAGAAATAAATTTATTAACGAGACATTCACGTTCAATAATATAATCTAAAGAGATATATAAGATTAAACAGAAACAAAAAATTCATCTAATACATACAAACATTTGCTTCTTGAGCATGTTGTTCAAGATGATCAGCTTCGCGATTAAATAAGAACTATTAAAAATAAAAAGAAATTTAAAAGAAATTTTATTTCATTATATTATTTACTTTCCAAAATGTTTTTTGAATAAATATAAGCATTGGAGTAAGACGTACTTCACGTTTATCTTTTCCATTACGTAAAAAAAATAGATCAAGTATTCGAACACCAACATGTTTACCAAAATCAGCTAATCTAATATTTTTTTATTTAATAGATTTTATATAGAAAACAAAATAAAATAAGAATTACTTATTTTGAAGATCCTGTATATTATCAACACGATTTTGTGAATATTGTACCATTTCAGAAAATAATAAAGCAAATGTAGTTAAATTAACCTTTTTAAAAAAAAATTAGTTTTATATATATAATTTAGAAATTATTTACATCTCCTTTAGTTTTCTGTAATGACCGATCTAATGTTGTTGATCTCATACGAGCTGATGATGATTGCATGGAGAAATTTTTTATGTATCTTAAAATTAAATATATATATATTATCTGAAGTTAGAAGAAAATATCTATGTGAGTAAATGATGCTCATACTGGTAGATTTATATAACAAATCATGAATAATATGATATTCGATAGAGGTCAGTAGAGATCAGATCTTTATTAGATATAATAGATTAATACAAAATAATTATACAATATAAAACTAAAAAAGTAATAATTTAAATAAGTTTTGATTCATTTCCATGCATTTCAGCTGTTGTAGAAGGTATTGATATACGAAATCGTGTACCTTGAATAGGTTTTTCAATATCATGAGAAGATTTTTTTGATGAAACATTTGAGTCAGGTACTGAACTTTGTCGATTAAAACGAAAGCGTGTTTTTTTATTCGGTTGTTTTAATGATTCATGATGATTGCGAGCATATGGATTTGATTTTGAATGTATACGTTTTGCTAATGGACGTGAACGCATTGAATATGATCGATCAAATGGTAATGACCATGCTGTAATAAAACGTCTTTGTCGTTCATAAAGAAATATTTGATGCCATTTTGGTGGTAAATATTCAATAATTTCTTGATAAAATGACATATGTTCTTTATCTGTTATTGATGATTGTGTACCTGATGGTTGTAAACGATATAAATCAACAAATACGGATGGTACTGTTTGACACATATCAATAAGATCAGTAATAAGAAGACGTACTTTATCTCGACTTTCACTATTAATTAAATCATAATCATCTTTATTAAATAAATCAAGACCATATTCTTTTGCTAATGTTTGTAAACGAAAGAATTTTTGTTGAGATTCTATATCATCAGGTATAAGATTATTTTTATGATTATCCAAATCAACATATACTGATAATGTTGGTGATGCTCGATTTGATTGTTGCTGTTGTTGTTGTTGTTCTTGATGAGTAGAAGAAAACGACGGTGAAGATTTAAAAGATTTCCATCGTTTTATAATTGTTTGTGTTATATTATTTTTATGAACAGTTAATGTTGATGGATCTTGTAGATTAATATCACCTTCATGTATTGTTTTATTATAATCACGTGCAACACGAACATCATAATGAAAAAAATTGGCTATATCTTTATTTGGTTGATGTAGTGGAACAACTTCTTTTATACGTAATATAATTAATGCCATAATTATAATACATATAATATTAACTATTGTAAGTAATAAACTACAACAACCTAATATAGCTGCTTCACTAACAAGATTACATGTATAAAGTGGTTGATAATCATTATTAATATATTTAGGACAATGAATTGATGAATCATTATAATTATTTGTAGTATTAAATTCATGTGATTGAATAGCAACTACTCTTGAAAAGATTGTACCAAGTAATGAATAAGCAAAAAGAAGTCCACAATTTACAGCTGGTGGAAGAAGTGAAGCTAGAATATTTTCAATAGTATGATATTGATAAAAAGAATTTGATTAATATAAACTAACCTGAAATAGCAACACCAACAAGTGAACCTAATAAAAAAATCATTTTGTTTTAGTTTTATATAATAATCAGATTATTTTACCAGTATTTCCACCAAGAACAGAAAGTGCTACACCAGCACCACTAGGTAAAGCAATAAAAACACCAACCCATAAACGTTTTCCATCACCACGTGATTTCATCTCGGATGTAGGAAAACTTGTTGAACTTCCCCATTTTGTTTCGAAAATTGTCGTAAATAATCTATTAAAAATAAAATAAAAATATCATTCTATATTAATTGTTCTCGATTATCTACCCTATAATAAATCCACAAGTCGTACAGATAATTAGACCAATAATTTCATTTCGAAGACCATGTCGCCATAATGATTGATCACGTACTGATAGACCAAATACAATACCTAAGATTGGATTCATCAATGGACTAACAAGCATACTTGCAACAATAATAACAGTTGAATTTTCTAATAAACCAAATGCCGCTAATACAGAAGCAAGACATATTAAAAGAACAAAATCAAATGAAAGTGCTGTTGATGCTCGAATACTAGCAACAACTTGATGAACCATAAGTCGAGCACGTACACTTTTTTTAAAATCTGATTCATTAAAACGTTTACGATATCTACGTGATAAAGTATGATCATGATTTAAATGATGTCCTTCTTTTATTGATGTTGATTTCTCATCAATTGTACTTATTGAATCATCAAGTGTATGTAAAGATGATGATAATGATCGATTTTTTTGATCATTATATCCTTTGACAATAACAGTTGTTGGTAAGACAAATATTTTTGTACCATTTGTTTTACCAATACTTAATCTAGCTAAATCTTGTAACATTTCATCACTAACAAAACCAAATTCAACATAAAATGTAACTTGATATGTTTTTCGATTTTCAGATAATAACCATACTGCATCAACATCATTTCTATCGGCAAGATAAGTCTTTAATAATGCACATATTGATATTGGAGATGATCGTTGGCATGACTGTAATATATCATTTTCACTTTTTACCTCAAGCAATGGACTAAGTGATGGTGATATAGCAAGAGGAATTGCAGCCGGTGCCATTAATGCAGATACTGTATCAAATGATGCCTTTTAATTGAAAGATAAAAATTAGATTTATTAATATAAATATTGTATGACGATACTCACTCTTCGTGGTTGTGGCTTAACAATATTTGCTACTTCTGTACTTCCAACAACAGAATTTCCTGGATCAAAGTCATTTGGTATAATAATAATAAAAAGTGCATAATCGTTTGACATAATTATTTATTGTTTATAATAATTATCATATAGAATGAGAATTAATCTAAATAAATCATGTGGTTATACACTTACTATATGATCTCTACTATCAATATTGAGAAAAATATGTTAGACTACCGACTAACATTAGTTGAGCAATCGTTGTTGATTACTCATAGAATACATTGACAAGAAGATAATACAATCATTCAGTATCTACACAGATCTAACTCATACATTTTATTTATAGATATTTTTACAATGATTACAAGATGGATATCCGCATCAGTGGTATTATTAAACAAACCCCAAAGAAAAAATCAATTTGATTTGATTCTATTTAGAATTCGCATCGAAATAATGTGAATAAAGAATATACTTACATTAATGTTATAAATAGTTTCAACTATTTATATTATCCAGAGATACAGAAGTCTCCCGATATATTATTATTAGAATAATTAGTATTATTTCGGTCTATCCAAAATAATTTCTCTAAATAGCGAAAATGGTCTAACGATATTTTTTTTCATATCATCGCCTATCAATGACTACTAGCCAAGTTTTTAGACATTTATATAATTCCATTAATATCATAAGCGTGGTAGTATTTATATTAGTGACAGATTGATATATCTCATCGTTCTCAACATTAGATATTAGAATACTATTTCATAATCTTCATTTCCTTTTGTAGATAATCTCCCACGTATATACATACACTAGTAAAGTATTAGATATTATCATTTCTTCTTTTTTTTCGGTTAGATTAGTAGTTGTACTTAAATATATCTTTGTTGAATTCTTTTCTTTGTTATTCAAGGTTTTATTACTTATAGTAGAGAATAAAAAGACAAAGAAAATAAGATATATAATAATCGAAGTTTAGCTTATTCATGGTTTTTTCACTTGTTTTTTACGTAAATCTTGATCCATCATTTGTAATAAAATCGCTACATTGTCTGAATTTCGTTCAATACGTTTAACTAAATCACTCATATATTTTAATGCTGTTGTCTGTTCTTCAAGCATAACTGTTTCAATAAAATGAACAGTTGGATAATCTTTTTCAGTATTTGCTTGTAAACGTACTTGAATAAGATTATCATAGACTTGTTTTTCTAATTGATCAGCTGCTCGAATCATTTCGACGAGATCTTCCATTTTTGCTATATTATCATCGATATTAATATCATAGAGAAGTACTTCACGATTACGTACATTATAAAAATCAAGTAATTTCTTTCCATGATCACGTTCTTCTTCTGCTGATTCAAAGAAAAAATTTGCAAAACCATGATAAACACCATGTGAAGATAAACGATGAGCAAATGTTAAATATATATTTGAAGCAAGAAATTCTTTTTGAATTTGAACTTCATATACACTTTTTAAACCTGTAGTATATATTAATGGTAGAAATATAACGATAATAATAGTGCTGACAGACACAGATGATGACACCATGTTGAAAAGAGCAAATACTTATGTAAAATGAAAAATGTAAAAGATAGAAAGTATTATTATCTCTTATCTCGTTTTTCTTTAACTTTGAGACCCTTTTTGTCTTTGTATTCAAAATGCAGCTGACTTAAACAATCATATGATTTATTTTTTTAAGAACAAATATCGAAGAAAAAAAATAATATAGCTTATCTTTAAAAATTACCAACTAAATCAGATTTATAAATTACAATGTTTAGTTGTTATTAATAGACGTTTCTCAAAATTCTTTAGAAATGATAAATAATAGAAATATAGCTAGTTAGAATAAATAAATCAGTTAATTTTTTTTCTTTATATAATTAAGGTAAGAGATAATTTATTATCAGTGAATACTATTGTCTATTAATAATTGGATCGAGTATATACGATAATTAAGCATGTTTTTACAGATATTTTTTTCTTGATTAATACAATTACAATATATCGGAAATTTGAAAAAAAAGCAATCAGGCGAAATATTTATAACTTTTTAACCAAGATAACTGCAGTCCTTTTGGCCTTTACTCTTTGAGAGAATGCACCGGTAATGTTTCCCGGTTCCTTTTCTCGAATATCGAAGGTCACAAGACTCTAGCTATCTTGGTTAAAAAATTGTAAGCAATTTATCTGACGACCTTTTTTTTTAAATTTCGATAGCAGTATTATTTTTAATAATTGCTAGTGATATTTCATAATGCCTGTGTAATTCATAACAGTCATTAAATATATTTGATCAAATATTTTTTTATCTTATTATTGATATTGTTAATAGTTTGTTTTCTTCCACTGGTATGTTGAATTACACTTTACATATGATGTCATCTGTTTCGATGGGATTCTTATTCATATCAAAATATTCCCACGGTATCAAAGAACCATTTCATTTCTACTAAGCCTATTACATGAAAATATTCGATTAAAATCAATATAGATATCACTGTCTTCCAGTGCTCACATATCTATCTGTAGTTAAAGTAACTTTGTTGACTTGATTTATAAAGGATGATGGATTAAATAGTGCTCTATCTTGTTAAATACACATTAATATGTTTAGTAAAATTTTTTTTGTTCTTTTTATAAGTTCCCTAATTTCTTTATCTCATTCATTTCGTTTCGTATAATTTAACATCCAAACTTCTCAAATAACGCTCACAAGCGTCTTCATAGATATAATGACGACACTCTTTTTGCGAAATCATCGTTTTCAAAACGTACGATTTCGTCAAAAAAAGTCTCATCGTTTTAAATAAACGCACACACACTGTATGAAGAGCGGGAGAAAATATACGGAGGAGAAAAAAAAGAGACAGTAATAGAACGAGAGAAACATTGAAATAAACAAAAAAAAAATTAAGTTTAAAATCGATAGAAGACCGGTAGGCCATCGCTGTCGGCAAAGAAAGAAAAAAAAAAGAAAGAGCGAAACAGCGCCGGTCCATTTAGGTGTATGTATGTGAAATGAAACGAACATAACATTGAACAATCAAACAAAGAGCGAGAGAAAAAAACAGTTTGTTTTTGTCAAAAAAAAAACGAGGTATCATGTGTGTAATATATAATTGTTGATGAATGAGATTGCGCGTCATGAGGAAGGATGTTGATTAGTTTATTTTATTTTCTTTTCATGACGTACTATCCCACCAACTTTGATCTGTTTGTCGATTACCATTACCACTAGCAGTTGGTGGTTGAAAACGATCATAACCACCAGCACTACCTGACTGATGATCACCACTCCACATATTACTACCGGCATTACCATTGGCTCCTTCCCATTGTTGCTGATGATTACTATATCCACTAGTTGAACTACCTGGACGATTATTACCACCACTACCACTACCGCCGCCACCGCCACCGCCTCGACTACCGCGTAATTGAGATGGATTACGATAATCACGTGCACCAAAACCACCAGGTCTAAAAATGATTTATATATATATATATATATGTATCTATATATTATATCAATGAAATTATCGACATACCGACGGCCACCACCATAATTTCGTTTAGAATAATTATCTTTTTTAGTTTCTCTCGCTAAACCTTCAAGCCATTCAGGTATTTCTTGATGGGCTTCAGTTAAAATATCGAGTAATTCTGTAGCAATATTACGATTCTTTTCATTGAAAAAAGATGTTGCTTGACCTAAAATAATTAATATATAGAGTAGAATACAAATCTTTAAGAAGAATATATATATCTATTTTTGCTTACCTGTCATACCAGCACGACCTGTTCGACCAATACGATGAACATATTCATCAATATCCGTTGGTAAATCAAAATTAATAACATGTTTTACATTCCTAAGAAAGAAAATATTTATTAAAAAAACTAAATCGCCAAAAAAAAAGTCTATTATTATAATTCAATTGCTGTACAAGAAGCACACATGTTTAAGTGGCATACTCGATAGAAAAAAATGATTCTGTCAGCTATTGTACAATATTTTGAATACAAACACTTACGGAATATCAAGACCTCGAGCAGCTACACTTGTTGCTACGAGTATAGGTGTACGACCATTTTTAAATGATTTTAATGCTTCTTCACGTTGAGCTTGTGATCGATCACCGTGAATACTGTTCACGAGATATTGATGATTGCCAAGAAAATCTTCAAGCATATCAGCTCCTCGTTTTGTTTCAACAAATACCAAAGTTAATGTATCTAAAATATTTCACCAGAATTTATTTTAATTTAAACAAATAAAATTTTTAAGTGTGTTTTACCAGATTGAATATTTAGTAAATCAAGTAAAAATGAACGTTTTTCAGTTTCTTCTACCCAAACAATTTTTTGCGTTATATTTTGTGATGTTGAACCTACACGACCAATAGCCAAAAAGACATAATCATGAAGAAAATCACGTGCTAATTCCTAATTTATAAATTATTATAATATAACATCCAAGGAACATTAACAAAGAAATAACTATACCTGAATTTGTTTTGGAAAAGTAGCTGAGAACATGAGTGTTAAACGTTGGCCTGTGGACGGCATATCTGACCGTTCCACAATCTCACGAATTTGTGGCTAGTGAAATGAGAAAAACAAATATATAAATATTGCACTATTATTATTTATTCTTCTTACCTCAAAACCCATATCAAGCTAAATAAAAAAAAAATAAAATAATTAGAAAATAAAAAGAATAGATATTAATAAA